GACACATGTCACAATCTAAATTAACAATTACATTTGTCGCGATCTGGTGAGTTACAATTTTGCTTATGTGTCAAACTCTCATCGTGCGCATTTTCTTTTATATAATAAGACTAGAAAATAACCCGGGCTACGCCTCAGTATGTTATTTATAAATTTGTTTGCTATTTTAGTGTGAATAATATGGTATCATGAAAGTTTTAGTGATTTTGTGGATCTAACAAAAATTTGTATGTTTATCAAATATAAAGTAGATAGAATGATAAATGGATCTCTTTTTTTTTTATGTGTTTGTGTTGTTTAAAATTTAGAATTTATTCATGTGAAATACATATACAATATAAGTACACAATTTAGTTGTTGGCGACATCCATTTTTTTGTTATCCTTTAGCTCACAGAGGATTAACTTTGTTGAAAATTTGTAACTTCCACCATATGTCCAAAATGTTTTAGATTTTTAAACTTGAAAAGTTGTTGATAATTATTAGTGGCTCAAAAACGCTTTAACGATCCAACCACACACAAAATCTTTCTAGCACGTACTCCAATTGCTTTTTAATTATATTATTATCTCTTTGTTTTTCTCCTGAACTTTGAATGACTTCCTATTATCCTCTTTTTTTTTGTAATATCCATTACATCTCTAGTAATATCCATTAAATCTCTAGTTCATATACTATAGTATATGCAAGACTAAATCCATTGATTTTTTGATTAATTTTATCTCACTCGAACTAAATATTCAAAGCACAATGTAGACACCAATTGATCAATGTGCAATTTTTCTATTATTTTTCCTTTATTGCGACAACAAAATTCTAGCATTTATAGTTTAACAAGTTTGCTTATCCACCTATTTTCATCTTCGCTATATTAACAATATCTCAACTCTTCTCAATCATTCTCCACCTTCAACTTCAAAACACGTTTAAGTTTAACAACTACGGACCATCTTACAACAACAATCCACGTTCCAACAAATGTGAACTAAAGCAAAACCGTAAACTCATGCAGCCATCAGCTTTGGACCATTGTCCGGCATTCCCATTCCAGCAGCTAAATCTGCATCGAGTTGTGTGTGTGGCGCCTGTCCATTCATTATCTTCACACTGCAATCCAAATTGAGGGGAACAAAAAAAAACAATCAGAGTCCAATCAATTCAGGGGAAACACAGATATTCAGGTCACATTACACACTAAGGCACAATTCACCTTCAAACACGTAACATAACACCTTTACAGAGCCGAAGACAACAATATAATCAATGAAAGCATTAAAATAGAAAGCGCTAATACTTTTCCAAGCTATGCTCGTGAAGAGAAATCGCTTGAACATTGCAAGCACAACAAATGCTTTATCAATTATGTTTACATACTCATTAAGCGCAATTATCGATATGGTATTACTGTACTATCAATACCATGAAGAAGAATTCAGTAACTTCAAACGAGCATACGAACCAAAACAAGAAAATCCAACAAACAAGACTTGAATACATGAAACACGAATGTAACCAAGGCAGACACATACCGCTTCTTATGCTTTTTAGTCTTGAAATGATCATCCCGCACCGACACATTGGAGAAGTACCGACTGAAACATAATGAAGTAGAGACAAGAACACAAAATTAAATGCTGATGAAAACGAACAAATGGTCAATTCGGAATAGTAAAATCACACAAACAGAAACATATACAGAGGTTCAAGATTGTCTTTTGCAATAAAGTTTAATATACTAAGAGATTCAAGATAGTCTTACTCGCAGTGCAAGCAGTAGAATTGACCCATTCCAGGCAAATCCTCATCAAGCTGCAAAGGCTTCTTCTCCGTCTCTGGTTTCCGCAACTCCGTGTAAACCAAATCGTCGCCTTTGACTTCGAATTTGTCTCGACGAGCTGTTTTGTGAGACAAACGCCTCTTCTTCACTTTTCTTGTCGGGCATCTACCCATTTTATATACTCTCTGAAGTGTTGGAGAATTTGCAGAATCAGTGAAATTGAATCATCAAATGCGGAAATTCATGGCTAATTGTAAGAATCTAATCGAAAATTAAAGGAGAATTTACTTACGATTTAGAGAAGAAACGACGAGAGTAGAAGCTGGAGACGACGATGCGAAAGAGGAACCCTAGAAATCTGCGCACTTTCAGTATATAAATTAAAACCTAAAACTAAAGGCGGTTTTGAATGAATCCAGGCCCATCTTCATAAACAGGCCCATGCATTATTAACTTGGGCTTATTAATTTGATAGCACAAAAGAAGGAAACTTAAAAAAAAATCAGACCAAAATCTACTACCATGGAAATTTTGTTAGTCAAATCAATTTCTAATTTATTAATGACCGAATCAAATGTATTGTACTATTGTAATTGAATAATATGATTGGTGACTTTGAAAGAGTGTTATGATGCTTGCTATGTAACTACTGTGTTTTACGTTATAGATTTAGGCCGTGAACATTTTATCATAAACATTTAGGCCGTGAACATTTCATATGGAAACAATATGTGTTCATTCAAGGCCGGTCTTGAACTCAATATGGGTTCATGGTCATCAACAATGTCTACAAAACAATATTTTTTTCTAACTTGCGGTTTTTTAAAGTCAACATCGGCTCTAAAATCCATTAATTGTTTTAAATTTATTTTAGAATAACAGTATGTGTCCACATCATAGGATGAGATGAAAAATGAATTCAATAAAACACAATAAAACATGATGTTGACAAATGAACAGATAAAAGGACGAACGAAAGCAATTACGCAACTCTTTGATACATTTTTTTTACTTTTCTTGTTTTATTTCTTTTACTGTTTAGTCATTTGAAATATTTCTAAAGTAGATTTAATTTGAGAGTTTTTGAAAAATTATTACTTTTGAAATGCCACTTTTCAAACATATCATTTTTTAAAAAATCTTTGCAAAAATATCACTTTTTTATTTTTTAAAAAAATACCACTTTTTCAAAATTATTTATTCAATATATTATTTATGTTTGGGTTAACTATGTTGTA